ACGTTCGCGGGGCATGTATGAAATTGAGCGCGGCGCACGTATTCACGCGCAAGATAAAATATCGGATTATTACTTTTGCATGGGATTAAATTTCGCTTCAGCCGCCATTGTTTTCACGGGCTCGAGTGTGCTTCGTTATTCAAATGAGATTAAAAGCCCTGGACTGAGTGGGAGCCGGTCTCGTTACAGTCGAGTGGCTAATCGTCGTTATGCGAAGATCGAAAGTAGCTCCATAAAAAAAAATACAAAAAAAAAAAAGATACAAAAAGCCCTCAGCATCAGCGTGTTCGGCGCACGCCGCCGGATCGTTTTATTCTCTATTTGCGCCGTTGTCGCAAATAATGCGAGGGAAATGAAAGTGACCATTTTTTCTCTCCTGGTGACTTTCTCACTCTGCGACACGTCTCTCTTAAATCTTGATTATGTTGTTCGAATTGTCTCCTTAACAAACAAAAATGAGGAAAAATAACAAGACCAAGCGTTGTTTGGCTCGACAACGATTGAGAAAAAAAAAGCTTGTACACGGCAAGTGTCTTCGTATCGGCGGCCTTAATTGACTTTATGCGATATTCACGCATACGCGGCAACGAATGGTCGAAAAAATGGAATGCACAGCTCTCGCGATAGCAATTGTTTTCGCGGAGCCTGGATCACCGGGCATTCGTTATCCGAGCGCAAACGGGATCCCGGAGACGGAAGGCCGATCTCTTTACGGTCGATCAGTCGACAGTCGTTACAGCCCGGGGATTGAGAGTGGCTTTATCCGGGAAAACCACGCGTTGACCGATTTCAGGGCGTATAGTGGGAACGCTAGAGAGAGAATAGAGAGAGAGAGAGAGAGAGAGAGAGAGAGAGAGAAGCGGGGAGTAAATGAGAGAGACAGAGAGAAGAGAGCGGATTGTCACGGGGAATATGCCTTCGGGACATGTTCGCCCGCAAAACGCAAAAAGGAACGAAGTGGGAACGCTGGAGAGTCCATCCAATCCGTTCGCGTACTGCATTGAATGGTGGAGAAAGAGAAAAAGAGAATAGCGAGCGCGATGAAGAGAGCGAGCGAGAGAGAGAAAGAGAGAGAGAGAGAGAGAGAGAGAGAGAGAGAGAGAGAGAGGCAGTAGAAAAAGAGACAGAGACGGGGAGAGAGAAGAAGAGCGGGAGAGAGACGTATTGGCCTCGTCAAGCGGTTTCAGGCTTGCCGATACTCCGGGCGCTTCTCGTCGACCCTTATGAAGCCAATTACACTTCGCCTCGCCAAAGGCACCCCACTTATACCCGCGCCCGACGGTCCCCGGGCTCTCTTAGAGCCGCGATCGGTTCCGCGGCACGTACTAGTTACATTAGATACCGATGTAAAAGCGATATACCCTGTCCGTTATTCAAGCCGCGATAGCCACGTACGTCATAATCCTGCAGCTTGTTATCCGGCTGATTTTAAAGCTCCCCTGGCCTTCGCACAGACGCTCAAGCACTCTCACTGAAGCTTTCGTGTTTCGAAGGAGCATCGCGCGTGTTCGAACATTGAGAGAATCTCTTCGAATCCCCGAGAATTGCATCATTACCTACGCTTGGCGCGGTAATAAATGTCACTTGATAGCGCGACGCCATGTAATACCCCTTTCGTTGGGAAAATTAATATAAAACGGCGCGTCGTCGGCAAGAGCCGAGCGAATTTCTGTTTCGGACGCAGTCTATGCGCGCAACCCGCGAACGTAACGCGCGCTTGATCGATCCCAATTATGCAAAAATCGGATTGATACCGATACCGTTCATCCGTCCGGGACGAGTTACACGGCGTTAAATTTCATCAACGGCTGTTCTCGATGACGATCCCGATGGCGTGTACATTCCACTTCGTGTCGGGTGCTAGTTACAGAGGGTGCGGCCGCGCGCCGCTGATCAATGCCCGTTCTCTCGTCACGAGAGAGAGAGAGAGAGAGAGAGAGAAAGAGAGAAAGAGAGAAAGAGAGAAAGAGAGAGAGAAAGGGAGAAAGGGAGAGAGAAAGAGAGAAAACTCGACCTCTGCTTCGTCTGTTTGTAGTGCAAACCCACACGATATATTAAATGTATAGTCTCCTTTCGTTCAATCGCGCGCTTCTTTGATCTCGCCGTGATAATATTTATCCTGTATATGTTAATACGCGGTCGGTGCGCGCGTTTCCACCACCGGTGAATTCCCATTAGTACGTTGAAAAATACTGATGGATCTTAATATTTATATTCATATTAATCATTTATAATAACCAGATGATTATTTGCAATAACGCGCGTATCGTTAAATCCCATGATTTAATTTTAACTTGCACGTGTGTGTGTGTGTGTGTGGAACTGTTATGTCCTTCGCGTCTACGTGACCTTTTCTCGTCAAGAATCAATGCGATTTATATCCGCGCACGCATTGCATAATATGGCGCTCTATGAGTGTTTGAATCGTGCGCAACGACACTATAATTCATCATATAAAAAATTTATAAAGCTGATAATTGCAAAATTTATCCAGGAATAAATAATCGTGAATTTTGCATGCGACGTGCTGGAGCAATATTGATGTCCATCTTACACTGCGCGGAGCAATTAAAAGATAACATCGAATAATTCGTTAAATAATTCTGCACACACTTTGAGTCGAATATAATAAGCGCCAAATAAAGTTACGAAATATTAAGAATTTTCAATGTGGTTTGAAGATACGTGTCATTGAGAAAATAATTTCAGTTTTAATACTACAGATAAAGCATCTGTCAAACAACACAGGCATTTAAATAAACAATCTATCGATTATTTCGACCAGAGTGTGTGTGTGTGAGTCTTTTTTCAATAGACATCACAGACACACGCGTAAAAAAGTCTACAAAGTAAATTCGCATTGATGTCAACGTAAAAGTAAATCGCATTGATGCCAACGTAATTATAAAAGCGCCCACCACCTTTCATGTCAATTTTTCTGACTCACCGATCAACCGAAAACTCAAGAGCCACGTTCCGCTACACATCTGGAACAAAAAGATACAGTTTCGCCGATTAGATACGTGGAATTAACAGATTACCGAGGGAAACGCGCGTGTCAACCGTTTGCGATTGTAATTCGACGATTTCTCTTTCAAGAGATGTCTCAGTTCAATTCTCATTTGCAAAGAATTAAACGTAAGAATACAGTGGACTTACCTTTGAATCAAACCGGCTCCTCCGGCACTGCATCCGCGTCCACTGCAAACTGCACCCCCGAGGAACAGCACACACTGCGTGGCCATACAAGCTTTGACAGATTTGAAACAAAAAGTAGATATTTTTTTTCTGGTCAGTTGTGTCAATACGCAACGCTTCAAGAGTGCGGGAGAAAGAGTGCAGTTACATTTTTCACTGGTAAATAACTCGTAAACTATTGGACTTAGGTCATATAAGTCTTAAAGATTTTGTAAGCAGAATTGAGCGATTTTTTAGAATCTGTTATGAAAAGTACCACTTTCTATTAAAAGAAACAAGAGTACGCAGTCTATTCTGTAAATCTAAGATTAAGCCTATTGTGTCGTTTTGCGTGTATCGATTTGTAATATTTAATATTCCTTCGACACGTAAGCAAATCAAGATGCACAGTCTCCGCAATGACAGATCGGGGGGTATTAAAAATCTCGACATACATATCGAATCGAACGATCAGTATCGCAGAAAATAAATAATGACGAGTTTATATGCTTTTTTAAATGTAGAGATACAAAATGTGTTGCTAATCTCAGGATTACTACATTTTTTGCATTTTCTTGAAGTACTAAAAATTTTATTAAAAATTCTGAAAAAATTCTCAGAACTATATGAGAAGAAAATGGATAATTTTTATTTCTTGCTATTTTTCGGTAAAGTTGATAGAATTCTAATAAAAAATTATTGAAACCAATAATTTTGCAGATATTTCTAAATATCTTAAGAAAATGGAAGTCGTATAAAAATTTTTTTCAAACAAAAGTTGTTTGCTTCTTTACATAGAATAAAATTCCATAATAAAAAATATATGTTTCTATTTAAAAAAAGCAAGGTTGACCTCGACCTGACCTTAGCGGCTTCATCCAAGGTCAGACTGACCAGTGAATAGATCATTTAAAACCCTACAACTTTTGTAGGAAACGTTTCTTTCAGAAATGCTTAGCTTTCAAGATATTTCACCGGTTCGGGACTTTTTACTCTGTATACAATTATATATAAGTGATAAATGAAACTTTTCCATATAAATATTAAGTTGGCACGTGATTCCTATCGTACTTGATGCATTCATCTTCGACACGCAATAAATTATTAAATTTTTGATTGCGCTACTAGTTTGCTTACATACTATCTTCTACAAGTTGTAGATAATAATGGCCGGTACATGTTTTTAATTAAATAAATTCTTTATCGAAATTATGACAGTTTCAATTTCATCTGAAAATACGACAAAAATTGTGCAACGACCTAGTGTAATACATGGATTCTCGGTTAACAAGCGTCAGAGATGTGCGCGAGGCGCGCGTCCGTTATGCACAAATACGGGAACGTCATCCGCGCGCGGCACTCGTTATCCCTTTTTCGACGACCTCGCCGCGATAAATTGAACGTCATCGTTTAGTGACCGTTAAATTGGTCACGCCGCCGGCTAATGAAAGATTAAACGCGTTATGGCGCCGTTAATCGCGGGTGTGAGATGCGACGAGTTTTATTCTATGGCCCGACGTCGGCGCGTTAATTCGCGATTGCTCGATTATCAAACGAGCCAAGTGCGCGCGTAAGAATGAAAACGACGACGACGACGACGACGACGGTTGCACGTAAGATCGTAAAGATCATGCGCGATGATTTCGCGTGAGAGTCACGTCCTGCACGGAGCGACGCTCCGAGAGTGGAATACACACGCGAGCGCGATGCAGCGCGAATTCGTACGGTCGAATGGAGAGAGGAAGAGCGCCTCGATGACGATAATCGTTCGAACGAGCCAGAAGTGTGGCATGCCATATTTTTTGTTTTGCTTTTTGTTACAGGTCTCTCGAGAGCACCGATGTACCCGTTCTCGCCGAGCCAGTACCCGTATCCCATGCTTAGTCCGGAAATGACGCAAGTCGCCGCTTCCTGGTAAGTCGACGCGGACTCTCGACGGTTCGAGGAAGTCGCGGTAAAAAGAAAAAAAATCGTTTTTATTCGTCCCTTTGACCATCGTTGCGCAAATCGGCGGGAGGGGATTCTTCTCCCTGCATAAGTAACATGTAGCCCGACGAGAGAGATAGAGAGAAAGAATTTCTCGATTCAACATAATAATATTAATATCTATCCGTTCTGTAATCAGCTACATTACGCGCGCGCGCGTTACAATAATATAATATTATTTAAATTTCAATCGGGTACATACAGCCACATGCACGCAGAAACACGGTGGGATCAGAGCGGGTGGCATTCAATTTCACGAGATAAACGTGCACGGCGCTCGTACGCACAGCAAGAATCATTTTACATCCCCGGATACTCGTTATATCGTATTTTATATATTAATTGCGCGTTAAACGATCGATTTTCGCGCGCGAATGACAAGTCACGTGAAGAGCATTCCGGATTCCAGAGCGCGCGCACGCGGTGGTTCTTGACGATTTCACGAATCGTCCATCCGTCCCACTCGAAACGCCAAACGCGCGAATCGCACAAAGCGACGTTAAATATTCATAAGTATATCAGAAAAATACGAGAGGAAACGTCGCGAACGCGCCCCTCTCGATCGTCGAACGTTTTTTCCTTTATAACGAAAATTCCGCGCTCTGTGTACCTTCCTTTTTAACGTTAAAGCGCGCGTATTTGCATGATAAACGGTCGTCGGGATTTCCCCGCGACTCGAGATATGGCCGGTCGTCTCGTTAATTCCCTCTCTCGTTACTAACGATTCCCGAACGATTCCTCCGGACTCACGGATAAAGCTGACTTTTATTGGCGATTTCCGTTTCTCTATTTCTCTCTCTCTCTCTCTATTCCTGCGCGATGTCTTCCGCCGAGGTATCGAGGATCGTTGAAGTAAAGAGACGCGTGCGCGCGCGCGGATAATCTCGACGCATTCGCATTCAGGTCCGGTTCTGCGAGAAAATCTGAACACCGAGTGAGCGTGCACGAGTATATGTGCGGTTGCGTACGTATGTGTTAGGCGCTTGGCTTTGGTCAGGCGTTTGGTCATCCTGTCAGTTCCGGTCTATTAGGTCCGATACGGAACCTCTCGTCCTCGTAGACGTCACCCTCTTTCCGCGAGGACACGGATCCTCGTGATCATCGGGTCTTCGGAGGAGACTCGGAGTCTCCCCCGCTCGTTATTTGCTTTCCGCCCGAGTCGGCCCAAATTGCGATTTTCCACGAGTGATTAGGTGCTCTTTCTTCTCAATTAGAAGGACCTACTCGATGTACTCGCTCGAAACGACGAGGCTTGCGCGACACCACGGAGAATGAGAGAGAGAGAGAGAGAGAGAAAGAGAGATACCTCGGCGCACCTTTGGGTGTTATACGGTATTCAGTATTCTCGCGGTTTTCGAGGGTCGGTGGTACGCGACACAGAGGAAAAAGGGCCACTCACGATAATGAGAAGGTCGGCGGCGTTTTTATTACGCCAAGTGCGCGGAGCTGTTCTCGCTATCCTCTCGACAACGCGAGCAACGGCGTTTGCGAAGGAGCAAGGTCTAATTACCGTTGCGAGTCAACGGCCCGCGATGTTAACGATAATTAATTGTGTCCAAAGCGCCAGTTGGCACGAGGTAAATATGGCAGATTCCTCAATGAATCGATATCACGATATGTCGTATCTTTGTCGGGGAAAAGTCACGAAATCGACGTTTGTTAATTTAGAGCGCCTCTAATTGCCGTCAACGACGCTAAAATTTATCATATTTGAGAAAAGTAAGGGAATCGTATTTCATGAAATGGTTCGTAGCAATCGTATCAAACAACGTGAGTAACTTTAATCAGTGGCCAACGCATGACGTTAGTTGCTAAATTTACATATGTCTGACAGTGTAAATGCACGTGCCAAGATTGCCTTCAGCTAACATACACTTGTATACACCGTTTCTCAAATCAAATTTTCCGAATAGTTATTCCCCTGTTCCCCACACTGACTACAACTTGACTACATTCAGAGGAAATTCACGGTAATGACAACAATATCGGTGGCTGCTACACGAGTTTTACGTGTAGAATTATAATATATACTATATGCTTGATAAACTATTTTGCAATTATTACAACTGAACCTTTAGTTACAACAACTATGGAATATAGTTTTATTAAACTATATACATTAATTCTACACGCAGAACTCGTACAGTTGCCATTACCATGTCTTTTTCTCTGAGGTTAGGTTGCACTAGTTGAGTAGTAAATGAAATCATACTCTCATCAGCTTGTTTTTGTCATTGTCAGTGTCTTTCCTTCAAAATAAACAAAGATAGACATATGATTTAACTGTGATATGTCAGTTAGAACAGATGTATGATTTAACTATATGATATATTAGTATATGTATGAATATTCATACATCTTCAGTTAGTGCAACCAAGCCTGATTGTACTTATTAATTTCGAAAAACAATGCCTTAGCTAAAGTACATGTTGGTTCAAAGCAATCTCAGTGCATAAATTTACGCTGTCAAACATACGTAAATTTAGTAACTAACAGCGACTAGCCTCCAATATTAATTAACTCACGTAGTTTGATTTAAAAATAACATAGTACTAATTACACATTCACTTTGTCTATGCAAATTTTACAAAAAACTCTTTCCCCCTTTCAGATTTTCTTTCTTTGCTTTTCCTACATACATAAATAGTTACTTCCAAAATTCCATTTCTAAGACCCGACTTCTCTCCGTAAGAGGTGTAGACGATAACGAGCGATAAAACGCATAGTTTCGCGTAGTTTTACGGACGCGCCGTCCCATCGCATAATTCATTCATAAATCTCGACAAATCCGCGCGCGAGTCCGGCATGCGAAACGAGCGGGTCGAAAGTTTTCCGACAGGTGTCGCGCGGAACAACCGCGGGAACACTTCGCGTACGAGAAATCCCATCGCGACGCGTAGGGAGATGACGTCTAATGACGGCGATAAAAGCGGCAAATGAATATTTACAGGCACACGCCGAGCATGTACCCCATCTCGCCGGCGAACGCCGGTTTCCGGAGTCCGTATCCCACGAGTTTACCCATCACCAGTTCCAGTTTATCAAGGTCAGTAGAGCGCGACGCGCCCAGCCTCGTTTAGGGACGCCGCTGTACTTAATAATCTCAGCTCGTCGACTCTGATCGTCACCTGTTTCGACTTTTGCAGTGATCTCTACCGGTTTTCGCCGACCGGCCTGATGCCCCCACATCCAGGACTGAGTTCGCACGCACACGCGCTGGCGTCGCACGCGCTGGTGTCTTCGGCGCCGAAGGCGGATCACTCCACCCTGGATCACAATCACAGGTTCGTAGCTCCCCTTCGGGACAGGTCTGTCTCGTATGGCTGGCGACATCTGAACATCCATCGGCAAAGCCCTCCTCGGTATCGATTATTCCCATGTCGTTTCCGATATCCGATATCCTTCGTCCTGCCCGTCTCCTCGTCCTTCTGCTCAGCCTGCGGTAAATACCGCGATAACAGGCGCGAGGACAAACCACGCTCCGACGATCAGAAAGTTCGCCTGTCTTCGGGATGCTCACGGCCGTCGTTGTCGACCGCGAGGGTCCTCAAGCGTTTAAAGCGGTGATTTACGAGCGATCACGCTCGCGCTAACGATCTAACGGTCAATTGCCGTGACGACGACCATTATATCCGATGCATCAAAGAGAAGAGGGGAATATATATATACATAGAGAGAGAGAGAGAGAGAGAGATGCACACGATGAAAAGAAATGCCATAATCTTCGGAACGATACGGCATAAACTTTCAAAGGCAATTAAAGAACTCGCTGACGATGGGCAGCGGATACTGCTCGCCGCTGAAACGGTTTTATCTGCTATCACTCGTAGTATCACCGTCGATTAAATATACGTCGGAAACGCAATTAATTTGGAATACGTCCGTCGCCTTTTACTTTTACGCACAGACAAAACGACCTTCCAGCTCGTAAGGAAAAGTCGTCGTCCGCGGAATTGATAAAACGAACGGCATCATCGAGGAAAACTCCTCGACGGACATTCTTGATTGTATTCGCAATCGATCTGGTACCGTATAAGACACGACAGGAAGTGAGAGAAAGCAAAGGTATGGCAGACTCTGCAAGGATCAGTGTGATTTTTCTCATCAATAAGCGAAACATCGTACACCTCCGCACTAGAGAAAATTTGATTGAAGATATCGAGGATACAACAGAAATAATGAAAAGCGTCACGATGATCAGTGATGAAAGTGCATCGGAACTATTGATCATCGAATGGCAAGCCATCCGATCGACAGTGTATCGAGTCAAGAGAAAAGCTAACGCTAGACATATCAACGTTATCCACCAAGTTGATAATCAAGTCTCGTCTTTCAACAGTCGGATGGCGTTTTCCTGCGAGGATCATCCTTTGCGCGAGCGTTATCCACCGGATATGAAGTCCCGCGCGAAGACCTTCCTGACCACCCCATGATCGCATGCCGATTCAGCCTTATACCCTTAGCGAAAGGGTGAGAGAAGGAAAGGAAGAGAGACAGAGAATGCGAGCTAGAACAGCGGGTGCGCGGCTGCACTCGGCGATCGATAATAACAGCCCGACAGCCGAATAGCACTGACAGCTGCAAGACAGGTTCATGTACCAGCGCAGCACGCCTGCTGATAAGGAAGCGTCGAGCCGACGCTTCGTCGAGGGTGAGGGACAGATAGTTGCGGCGCGACGACCGTAGGGGGTAGCACGTCCCGACTACTCCTGGCGCGGCACGTCGCGCCGAACTACCCCTCGTCGACGCGTCACGCTCTTTCTCCCCTTCGAGTCGACGGGAGAGCACGTATAACACTTATCGAATGACTCTCTCCGCACAGCGTCTGCGCCTGCTATCCTGCCGCCGCCGCCGCTGCCGCCGCCACCGACGCCGACGCCGCCAGTTATGTATTGATCATTACCCTCTTAAACAGATTTCTAATTTACATTAGTACCCGAGCGATCGCCCGCCCCGCACCTGCGTATACAAAGGCGCGTGGTCGCGCGAAACGCCGTGCTCTCTGTGCTCATCACGTATATACACTGCGCGCAAGTGCGAGGCCGTCATGGAGGACCAGCTGACGCGTCCTCCTGGTCCATCGGTGACGCCACGAGACTCATAGCACCGCAAGCAAGTCCGATCCGCGCGTGTCACGGACGTGTTCACGCGTACACCTCGAGAGTAGCGTCATTGACGCAGAGTGATACACAGAGAGCATCCATCCGACATCCATAGAGGATCGGGCACTCTCGCTGCTGCGATCCACGATCACGCTCAAAGAGACGTTGTGATTTTACAGAGATAGAGGGAGTTATAGAGAAAATGTGACATTGTATCTTTTTCCCGATTTGCCTTTGAAACAGCGTCTCGATCGCCGTTAGAGATTGTCCAGTCGGCGCGAGTGCGACGAGTAAAAATTCCAAGAAGTTGGAGATCACCATCGGACCGAGCACCGCGCGAAATGACGAGGTAGCCGCGGCGGCAGTTACCCCAGTACCTCTAGCAGCGACAAGTGTTCCATTGAGAGGAAGGGATGGTAACGGACTGACCGTCAGCTGCCGGTCGGTGACTCGCAACAACCCCTCGTCCTGCCAGCTCGCCGCATCGCTCGCGAGTGGCAGGACAACCCGGGTTGACCGCTGGTCGACAGCAGCGCCGCGGCAGCCCGCCAAAAAAGGAAGAGTCGCAGCGGCACGCAGCAGGAGAGGAAGGCCACGGAGAATGCGATATTCGCGTCGTCCCCCCACGCTTCCGGAATTGTAGACCGGCGGATGGTAGGGTCTCTGGTTGCCGCGAGAGCCATGAATCGTGATGATGCCACCCCACGGTGCCACCCTCGCACCCACCTCCCCCTCGCGCGCAACCCCCGGCCGCCCCCAGTCTCGCCGATAATCAATCGTCGTAACACCGGTCGGTGGTGATTCCGCTGACGCCAGGAACGAGCGCGTTTGAGACACGGCGGAAGGTGGGAGGGAAACGCACAGAGGGACCGAGAATAAATTCGCGGCGGGACACACGAGAAGGCAGGACCCGGTGGGAAACATACGGCGGCGTCGGAGTAAGAGGTGTCGACGTGTATCATCGGGCGAGAGAGAGAAAGAGAGAGAGAGAGAGAGAAAGAGAGAGTGGAGAGAGTGAGAGAGAGAAAGAGTGTTTTCGTGGCACGACAAACGTCACGGAGAATCGAGAAGAGGGTGCGTTTTCGCGATACAACGGAGCGAGCGCGCTATAGTCGTCGGCGTCGAGATAGACGGGGTGTTTGGTGGGTACAGGAGGGTTGGCGACGGAGGGGGGGTCCAGGGGTGAGAGCGGTAAAGAGAGAAAGGCAGAAAGAGAGAAAGAGAAAGAGAGAGATATGACGAATGGGTGACCGTGGGATGCCGCCCCTGGAGACATTTCACCGCACGAATCGCCGGGCGACGAAGTCGTCGCGTCAACGACTGGCGCTGCCGAAGCGGTGGCGGGCGCGGGCGGCCGTGTGAAATGTTGAACGTGCGATCAACGATGTGGCGGATGGTGCCATTAGGAAGCACGTCGATGCGAACGCGCGACAGATACGACGGCGTCCTACGTCACGGAGGCCTCCGGATGCGCGAGGTCGCCGCCGCCAGCGTCTGGAGCCCGCGGACCATCAGCGTGTAAGTGTCGCGATCGTGCGCCACCGTGTACGTGCTGTTTACAACGCTGACCGGTTTATGGGGCCCCGCTTGCTCACCTAACGCGCACTATAGCGCGACACGAGCGCGAGTATGTGAATGGAGTGTGTAACACCGTGCCGCCGGACCGTATACGAGCTTTCCCACCCGGAAGCGCGATGTCGCGGACGACCAGCAGCGTGTGTTGTTGCGCGTGATGTGCTAACGGTGGTGCAGGAATAAACGAGTGCGAGATGAGGATTCCGAGACTCGGTGGTCTGAATACTACTAGTGCCGAGTGATCGCGCGACGAGAGGTGCAGTTTCTGGCACGTCGACTCGACCACGCTGAGGATCCTCCGAACAGATCGCGTGAGATCGACGTGTGTGAACGTGCTGCTGCGTGTACGTGCGTGCGTCGTGTGCCTGTGTGTACGGGTGCGCGCGTGGCGAGAAGACATCACTCGAGATTCTCGGATCGATCGTTCCATGGATCGATTTGGATCGCTTCTTCGCTGGATATAAGGCGGCGGGCCCGCGAGCAAACACGAGCAGCCCCATATGGCGATGGAGCCCGAGTGCCTGGAGCCGCTGAACTTGGTGATCAAAAAGGACGACACTGACGGCGGCCCCACGGTGATCAGGGAGAAGATCGTGGCGTCGATCGACGAGGAGAAGTCCGAGACGGTCGAGGCGGCGATCGAGGATAACATGGCGATACTCCAGGACGCTGTCAAGTCCGCCGAGTCCGGCTTACCAACCGCGGATCACAAGCTTTTGACCGCGCTCTACATGAGCAGCCTCATGCAGATGTCGAGCTTGAACGCACCGCGCGGAATCACGCCACCCCCCTACGGCGGCGGCGGCGGTGGCGGTGGCGGTGGCGGCGGTGCTGTCAGCCAGCAGCAACAGCAGAATTTTATGCAGCTGTTGGCGATGGTGGAGGCGCGACACCGCATGTGGCAGCAGATGAACTGGCCGTCGTTGCCACAGAGCTTCCTGAGAAGTCCGCTGACGCTACCGCCGCAGCCGCCTAGCGCGTACTTTGACGGCTCGACGACGACGACGACGACGACCACGGCGGCGGTAGCGGCGACGACGACGCCGCCGAACCTGACTGAGCAGTTGTGCAACTCGCAGAACTCCGCGCCGACCTACCCCCTGTCCTGCACGAAACCCGAATCCCTCAACCCCGACGTCAAACAGCCCTACTTCAACAAACGGTACACACATACACACGCACTATCATCAAGTCTGTTGTATCGTAGAATGGCGCGAAACCGTTTGTGTCACGCGAGGAGCTCACGCTGAATATTTCCTGTGTATTTCAGGTCTACGATAGAACAGAAAAACTCCACGTCGTTGCCTACGGACAACGCAAAAGCCCAGGACACGGGTCAGCAAAACAATCAAGGTAAGTAGACTTTCACACGAGTAAAAGCAGCACATGTTGTTTATGGTTGATAATAATAATCGCGCTACTCGAGTACTCTGTAAGGCTCGATCTCATACCTTCATGCTGTTTTGACAGATAAAAAGAAACCCCATATAAAAAAGCCTTTGAACGCGTTTATGCTGTACATGAAGGAGATGAGGGCGAAGGTGGTAGCAGAATGTACCTTAAAAGAGAGTGCCGCAATCAACCAAATATTGGGAAGACGAGTGAGTAAACCTTATACTTGAATATAGTTGAGGCTTTAAATAAGCCGTCTTACATCAGAGTTAATCGGCAAATTTGCAACCAATTAGTATCCTAATTGAGCGTGGCAGTTGCGTCGCTTGCTCGTAATATCGCAAAACGAGCGTCATTCAGTTAAGTCTGTACGACACACCATTCACGTTCTGCAGTTAACGATACGAATAAATTATTCCACTCTGATGTAAGAATATTCACAATGCGCGAGAGCCAGCGTTTTCTTATGCGTAGTAAAACGTAACTCTTAAAATACCGCGAGTATCGGAAAACAGTCGCCGTGAATCGACTCGGTCACTTCTCAGATCGCTGGGAAATCCATTATTCCTAACGATATGAATAAATTGGATCGTTTCTATTCCGTTTACATCGGATAGCATTTTTATCAGACACCACCCAATGAGTACAATTGCTATTCTGATCCTACGTGCCGTTCAGGAACGATAAAGAGGGAAGGAGACGTTGGCTCGTCGCTTCAAGATTTACAAACGAGTTTTCATTCTGAATATACGATTACTGCATGTGTCTATGAAAACGCTTTATCGGGCTACCAATTGGAGCTAACTAACCGTACCTACTAGTATCTCAGTACGAATAGAGCATTGTAGGTGGGATCTAAGGAAATCTCAGACTCGCCTTGATAGAAAAAAATGCAGTGACGGGGGATGGGCCGAAGGGTGGTTTTCGTTGGGTTACTCTCGGAACACGGCGAGTCGTAAGACATATCCGCTTGTTGTGATTACGGTAAATAAGTTATTTGAGAGATCAGAGAGAGAGGGCGAGAGCGAGCGAACGAACGAACGAACGAACGAGCGAGCGAACGAGTGAGCGAGCGAGCGAGCGAGAGAGAGAGGGAAAAAGGGAGGGTGGGTTGGGGAGAAAGAACGGGGGACATGGTGCACGGATAAGTACAGCGAGGCTATGAATCTGTGAATTTGAATTTTGGGGGTATGACACGCAGTGGCACTCGCTAAGCCGGGAGGAGCAGGCGCGGTATTATGAGGCGGCCAGGCAGGAGCGCCATCTGCACCAGCAACGATACCCCGGCTGGAGTGCCAGGGATAACTACGGATATGGCAGCAAGAAGAAGAAGAGGAAGAAAGAACGCTCCGCAGATCCCACCGGAGGTACCACTTTCCAGTGCTAGAACAGCAGGCCCTTAATAATTCATTATAATAATTGCTAGTACCTATATACTGGTTGATTGAAACGATCAAAGTCTCTGTGCGTTTCTTTTTTTTCGTACGATATATATTTTTTTTTACGTTTTTTTTCCATTTGTTATGGTTTTTCTGGCATTCACTCTTTTTCGACGTGCAGACTATATATTTACCGACATATATCTCTTGGATATTTTATATATGTACATATATGCATATATGTATATTTTTACGTTTTTCGAATTGAATTGGATTGGATTGTCTGTGGGGGATTGTGGAATGTGGCGCAGCAGAGCAACAAAAAAAAAAAAAAAAGAAAAAAAAAGAGAAATGTACCAAAAGCCAAGAAAGTTAACTGAAAGTAAAAACGAAAGCAAATCAAACGGACTCTCGCGGGCATGCAACGCAATCTCTCTCTTTTTTTTTATCTGGCCAAACTCCCTAAAGCGGTATTCGTTCTTCGGGTGAACAAAAAGAAATGAGAAGAGACGGTAACGTCATCGATGATGCGATAAACGAGAGCGAGAGTGAAAACCGAAGCCTTAGGTACGGGATGTCTGGTAGAGCCCAGGGCCTGTCCCGCTTTTTTCTTACTTCTTTTCTTTCGCCTTTCTCGCCGGGGACGACATCTGCTCGCAATCGCTTACCTCCCAAGACGAGTCCCGTGCTCACGGCGAATCTAACGAGAACTGCGCCGACAGTGTCTCGCGTTTCTTTCGAAATTCATTTCTCTTCCCTCCGACCCCACCCGGTGCCCTCCCGTTAATATCCACCAGCGTACCTTCGCGAGACGAGCGTTTCTTCCTTACGGGAAGTGACGCTTTTCGTCGTGCAAGTCTCGCAAGCAAACCTGCCTTTGCAGTCGATGGCGTGACTCTCACGTGGGGGGAATTGGGGCAGGTGGCGAACGGAAATACACTGGAGGGAACATCTTACGCTTCTTTATATAGAGTGTGTCAGTAGTGGCGGAAGGATCGCAAAAATTGAACGACAGCGAAGTATAACTGAGCCGCGGCCGTCTTTCGCTTCTTGATCGATTTTGATTGTACGTTTGATTCAGAGCGAGTATTTGTGCTTCGCTGCTGCTTTAGCAAACAATTTCGACGAAATTATGATGTACATTAATGACAATTATCTCCTAAGGATTATGTCTTTCAGCGATTGCTTGTTACCACAGCTGTGTACGATATCCTTAAGGGAAATCCATGTCTTTTTCAGTGTATGACCGTGCCGACACTACTCTTTCACTCTCTTGTTCGCACGCGTACTCCAGAAAAAGAAACCGAAAAGAAATTCTCTACCGTCCACCCGCTAGGCACTAGGCCGTGTCCTCTATCAGACACCCTGTATGCTGTAGGTTGCTAACATCGACCATACAACGAATAGCGGTGCAACCGAGGGGGAGGGGACAACCTAGGCTGTTCTTCTAGCACTTTAAACGGAAAGTAGGGACCCCAGTGTTACTGAAATGCTATGAGGCAACGATTGCAAAAAAAAAACTATATATATATAAAAAAAGAGAAAAGAAAAAAATATATATATATATAAAAGACAAAGATATTAGAGAAAAAGCTTACGAGAATGAGCAGAAACGAATTCCTAGATAGAGCGAGCTAACTCTGATTTTTAAAACGCAATTAGGGTGGCGGCAGTAGCATTAGTGAATCTTTTTTTTTCTTGATTAAAAATATTGTTTAGTCCACACGGTTCATGCACAATTACAAAAAGTGTTTGGTTCTCTCTCGGTAGTGGCACGCGCTAGGGCGAGAGGAACAGGCCAAGTATTATGAGTTGGCGCGACGGGAGAGACAGTTGCACATGCAGCTGTACCCTGACTGGTCTTCCCGCGCAAATACCAACCGAACTAAGAAGAGGAAGCGCAAACAAGACACAAACAGTGATCCTGGAGGTACCCACATGCCTCACTCCACACATTCTTAAAATCTCCGTCATGAAAAGAGAGCCCCCCGCCCCCTCCACCCACTCATTATTACATATACTATTATATTATACATTCTTATTGCTACACTACATTATGTTGCATGTTTCCCCCCCGTCTTAGGGGTTTTGGGTCGATATATTATATATATATTATATATATGATTGACTATATTATTATTATTCTTATTATTCTTATTATTATTATACACACACGCATATACGTTCATATATACATATATGTGACTCTATTATATATATATATATGGTCTCTCTTTACACACAGAGTCGCGAGTAAACGGGCGTGCACGTAGGCATGCGCACGTGCGTGCCTATGTATTTGCATTACACATCGGACAACACTTGAGTGACACTGACACGACACACGCACACCAGAGACAAGACACCACGCATCTTATTATTAATTACGTATACAACTTTGGGGACGCTGGCCATCTTGCATTTTTACAGGGACCTACTCCGCAATCAGACAATCCTGAGCGTTTAATTTTCTCTCAGTCTTTTCGTCTCTTTCTATACATATTTCTCTCTCTTTTCTCTCTCTCTCTCTCTCTCTCTCTCTCTCTCTATCTATCTATCTATCTATCTATTTCTCTATCTTTCTCTCTATCTTTTTCTCTATCTTTATTTTCTTCTATAAATATGTACTTCAGTTTTTTACTCTTACTCTTGTTCATTTTCTCGGTTTCCGACTCTCTCACTATCTCTCACTCTCTCTTAATCCTATACTTGGTATTCTCGATTCGTACGTTTATTTTCCTTTGATCGTTTCAATGTTGCCTGGACCCTTTGATTTTTATTCTAATTTTATTATTTTCGTTCTATCGTCACCTCTAATCGAATCACTTAATTTATTCTCGACCCCCACATACGAGATTTTTGTTTCACGGCGCTCACGCGATAGAGCGTTCACATCCATGATTTGTATTTTTATATATATATATATATATATATATATATATATATATATATTTCCGGAGCTTGCGTTTTATGATACAAGTCACGTACATTTCAACGAGTAGATGATCTTTGATCGTGTTTCTTAAGACGTTTCAACGTTCACGTTGCATGCCATTTATCCGTTTGACAAAGATACGAGTCGCTCGCATTGAAAGCGACATAAAGTGTGCTTCCGAATAAAAAATGTAGAGAGTTCATATCACATCCCATCGAAATTTTAATGTCTCGAAACTGGACTTGCATCATTTCTCAAGCAAACGATTCGTATCTCTGTTAATATACATACGTAGGTCCTTCCCCGAAGACTACCGATCGAACTATGATCGCGAGAGTTATAAATCGTACCGTTGTGCTTTCCACGTTTGTTAAAAATTTTATTGTCGCGCAGATTAACACTTGACGACACGTTGAAACTTACATCGACATAACGTCTTCCATGAAGGTCCTACGATGTACCGTTGACAATCCTTTGAGGTCAAACCGGAAACAAATTCATTTTGCCTCGCGATGTAAACTTAAACTAATTCCGCTTTCTATCTGGCACAAAAATTTTCGCGCGGTGACTCTTCGAGTTGGAATACTTCCCGTAGAATTCTTCCGTAGAATCTCTTTTCGAAATGCGAAACAAAACACGCCGCATTGATGACAGCATTAACGTCGGTGGATCTCAAGGGGTTAAACGCCGTTCTGTTACACGCATGACTTAGTTGACATTCGTTAAGTTCGTCTGGCAGTCACAGAAAGCATAAGTATGTAAAACGCAGTAAACTCGAGCACCGATTTTCACTCCGTTTTACGTTTTTTTTTTTTTTCTTTTCCATATTCGATCGTTCACACGACAATCCCGCACGGTTTTGTCGGTAATACACGTAACTATATCACCCGTATTACTTTTCTTTTGGTTTTTATCTCTCTCTCTCTCTATCACGTGATCGTAGAATGCTCGAGTCGATTTTTGTTTCCACGTCTTTCTTCACACGACCGTGTAACGTCAATGTCAATAACTACGTCATTCCTCTGACAGAATGTACCTTAACGTTGAGTAGTAGTGACCCCCCGCTCGCTCGGTAGTCTCATAAGAAACGTTTTGTACTAATCGTTCCGTTTCCCTTTTCTAGGTAACAACATGAAGAAATGTCGCGCCAGGTACGGATTAGACCAGCAAAACCAATGGTGTAAACCTTGCAGGTACGTGTGTCGCGTGCAGAGCTTCTCTCGATACACCTTGTGCTTTTAACGAAAGAGTATATATTATCGCCCGTCGAATACCGCGCGTGCACGCGCGCGATTTCCGCGACTCGCGTGATGTAAATACTCGCTGAATTTCTAAAGAAACCTTGGAGAATGTCGTGTTCATCGATTACATCTTCCAAAATCCTCGTCGTGTCCGCCGCGGAACCAAAGTAGAGGGTACGAAAGGTCCTCTCTGGGGAGTTATTGAAACAATCGATGAGTGACCGCGTGGGTGACTGGTAAGGACGAAGCGTACCCTGGTACTTCCAAGGCGGATGGCGACAATGTCGGGAGAAAGAAATCTCGCGAACGAATCTGGCCACGTATACAGTAAACGACTCTTTTCGAGATCGCGCTCGCGTTCAACACCGGATTCTAATATCCTCGACGTTCGCTGTCTCGTATCGGTCTCGTATCCGGATCCCGTTCCGTCATCCACATGTTACCGTGGAACTTGAAAGAGAGGAACACGCCACCGAACGGCGATGTACCTCCACGACATATAATTTATGCACCACGTGCATACACACACACACACACACACACATATACACAGCCTGGCGAACCGATGCGACGCGAAACGCCAGAAACGCGGCGGTAGGTTCGCCTCGTATCGGGAATGACTCGCGTTTCGCGGCGACGGTGCTCCCTGGAGCACCCCTTGCCGAATCCGAGCGTGAGCCCAGGGAGAAAGAGAGAGAAAGAGAGAGAGACAGAGAAAGAGAGAGAGCGAACGAGGAAAGAAACAGGGAAAATGCGGGCGCAGCGAAACTGCGCGACGCCGTCAGAAAATGTGTCTTCCAAAAAGAAAGAGAAAAACGAGGCGAAACGAGAATCTAACGAGAAAATCCAAAAGACAGGGGATGGCGGGCGATCCTCCCCACGAAGGGCGCGACGCAGCGCGTCTAGTCGCGCATACCTGGCTTGTTGTAAATACCGGTTATATCTAGAAGCACACTCACTATCTCTCGTAGTTTGTCGCGGTGTCACGTGCCACCCGTTTAGCGCCGACTACTACTACTACTACTACTAACTGTGGTCGTTGTCACGGCGCACAGTACGCCCAAATGCCCCAACTCCCGGCTGGGTTTGTGAATCTCATGGACCTCATTAAAGGGGCGAGGACGAATCCCATCGACGGTTTAACTCTGACGATGAGAGAAAAGAAAAAGAGATAGTCTCGCGAGAGATCCGCGATTTCGAGCGCACGACTCGGCGAAAAAACCGAGATTCTCGCGGTTCACCAATCCGCCACGCGACCCGTGTCGTTGCAGCCGTCGCAACGACGACGAGATTATACGGGTGGAGGACAATCAACGCGCGTCGTGTGCATGGGAATGAATTAGAAGCGTGTAAAGTTCGTGTCGTGTACATTTGAGCGACTTGTAATCACTGTGCGATTGTCTCTCTCTCTCTCTCTCTCTTTCTCTCTTTCTCTCTCTCTCTCTCTTCTTCTTCTTTCTCTTTGGCTTATGTTGGTCCTGCCAAATTTTTATCGAAGGCTCTCCCGCTCAATTCGCTGAGAGCAGCGAGATCGTCGTTGGAATTCGCCAAGAAGCACACCTATAGTTTGTTGCATTTGGACTTAGCTGACTGCACACTCTGCATCGAATCTGCACGTAACTTACTTACGGCCTGTATGAGTCGCGTCGTTCTGCCTTCGACTGGACGTCGTTTCGTTATTGCCGCGTGCGCGGACACCCGAGGAACATATATCCTTAGAGGATTGCGAGAGACGCGCGACAATAATAGATCACAGAGCGAATCACGATCTCACGGTGCTACCCTGAGAGACTACCCAGAGTAGACAAATTTCGAAGCGTCAATGCGGGTATTTGGGAGACATATTTTCTGATCGATGCAACAGTCACCGTCACTATTACCTTCCGCCGTCTTTCTTCGTTCCACTCACGTAAGATCCGTCAAGTTTGTTCCAGCGGGGCCGGCAACGCTGCGATACCTACGTAACGCCAGGGGGTTGTTTCGTCAGATGTCACTGAGTCATTCTCTGTTGTCCAAAATTCATTGCCTATCCGGCAAATTACTTCTATCGAGAACGCATGTCAATGCGATCAAACAAATCACAAGTAAATGGACGCGATCGTTTCTCATCGCATCGTAAAGATTGGCAGTCGAGTCGCGGATCCCGACGATCGCGCCGGCCCCGCTTTCGCGATTTTTCAACGTCGCGAGTGGCCCGGGGAACGAAAGTGACAGAACGAATGCGAGAAAAGGCTGGGAACACGGTCCCCTCGACATATAATGAAATGATGACACACGTGCGTGTGGGTGACGACACGATACGGTGCGAGATTGAGGTGGGATTAAGTCGACGATGATGTGTCTTAGCGAGAGCGCCCCTTTAATGGCTGGTGGTTGGTTTTGGCAGCCCAGTGGAGCATGGAGCGGGGATGGGCATCCACGCGAGCATAATCCATCACGGTGTGGGAAGTAGCGCGGGGGCAGGGGTCGGGGCTGGAGGCGGTGGAGGGACGGTGGGGACGGCCGCCGCCCCGCCAAACACCAACACTGCCTCCAATGCCTCCTCGCCTCAGCAAGAACCCACTTATGTTAATCTCTAGTCAAGCCTATCGCCTCCCTTCTACTGCAACACTTCTTCTTAAACAGTGGTCAGTCCCGACTTAAACCTACGGGCCCCCGTTGGTCCTCGCTATGGTCTACTAGCTGCTCGAAAAAAATAGCTTGAAATATTTTGTCCCACCTAGTGATAACTTGGGTACCGAGAAAAATTATCCTGTTTCTATTTTTTGTTTCTTTTGTTTTTTTTTTTTTTTTCAAAACCAAAAGCTCGCGGTTTGTTGGATAATATTGTGGGAAAATAGATACGAGCTAGGCGCCATAGTGAGCGACACGGCGGCGGCCCGGTGCTCGCATTGTTTCTCATTGTTGTGGCTCTTTACAGCTTATTATTGTTATTTATTTACCCTCTCGTTTAGTTGGAACTTACTCAGTGTTGCCCTTAGCATGGCTGGTCTGTAATGAATATATTTACCATATGTTTCTACGTATATATATATATGTGTGTGTGTATATATATATATATATATATATATATATATATATATACACACATATACATGTAACAGTTATTTGGTCCGATTTCGGAGAGAACGTTTGACATTATAGAAGATCTTTATATATCCTCATTTTTTGGCATGGCAGTTCGTACGATTAAGACCAGATGATTGTATTGTACGGATGTGTTCCTACTTTTTTTTCTATTTTTAATGTCTAATGACTTTTTTTCGTAATAGTTTTATACGATAACGTGTTCTCTATACATATAGTGCATATAACCATTCTTCAGGCACTCTTCTTTGTGAAAAAAAAAGAAACTACGCTGACTGCGTAGAGTGGAATTCAAGTCGAAATTTAACACAATTTCGAAATGGTCAAAGTCTCGAATTGGATTGCAAAGAACGGCAATTGTGTTTCTTTTTTATTGAAAAAATAACCCTTTATACTCTCAAAAATCCTTTATACATTAAAAAATCTTATGTGCACAGTACGTAAACAAATGTTCCAAAAAGTCCGCTCTAAATTTTGTGTCGAAAATAACTCATTTATATGTTCATTTTTGTGTTATTTACATTATGTATAGACTAGTATATAATATGAATAACACATGAATGAGTTATTTCCAACACAAAATTTAGAGTGAACTTTTTGGAACACTTGTTTACATACTGTGTACGCAAGATTTTTTACAGTGTACTCTCAAAATGGAAAATATGTGTTAAAAATCTAGATGTAGTCCGAATTTGGAGACTCTCGCGTCATAGTCGTTTGTTTTTCGCGACTGCGAAAACGATTTCTCTAACGGAGGACTATAAAAGATGCGGAGGATTATAAAGTTGCAATCCAGTGTGAGACCTCGAACGCCGTCCGTTGTCGCGCGTTGATAAGGAGTGAGCTTAACTCCCGTAAGTTTTGTGTAATGCTTTTGAGATCCGAGTGTGGCTGCGAGTTAATAAGCAACCCTCCGTCGTTCACGACACGGCCGACGTAACTAACTGATTTTAGCTGCAGAGATAAATAATGAGAGCCAATGGCAGAGCGGTAAAAATGTGTCTCGACTGCGCGAAGCAGTTCTCACGAGGTCGGACGGGCTCACTTTTGAAAATTGTGCAGTAGCAAATCCGCCACTCTTCTTCCTCATCGTCATCCGCAATCTACCATTGCTCGTTGTCTCGTCCACTTTCGACGGGACTGCAAAAGCTTCGCTTCGACGCGCGTTTCGCAATTAGTCGCGATATTCCAAGTTCCACGTAACATACCGGCCACCACTTGCGTGTGCGTGAGCGCGCCTCCGTTGATCGGCAAACGAGTCTTACGATAGATCAGTATAACTACGAAAAGAAAGAAGAAAGGAAGGAAAAACCGCGCGAAAAACCCCATCGATCTGCGGATGATCGACGTTCGTTCTAGATATGCCCTCCTGGCGTTTCGATTGAGTTTTGTTTCGTTTTCACGTATAAATTTCTTACACAGTTGTGCTTGTTAGGTTTTATAAAGATCTTTGAGCATGGCATTTGCGAACGAGTGGTCAGTGTCGACAATCGAAGCATCGGCAGGCGCACAAAAAGGATCGATCGTCCGACGATTGGTCAGAACGCTCGTTAAGACGATCCATTTAACGCGCGAGAAGCAAGTTTGTGCGTCTGACTTTGCAATGATGACGAGTGATCGCATGTTTTTTTAGTTGGTAACAATTCTAGATGTAACGTTCTTTACGGACACGACGCTTTCCATCGGTGAGAACTCTCCGTCGAGGTTAACGCAAGAGACGCAAATGATAAAATTCAGAGTGGAGAGTTGAGATAATTATCTCTCTTAAAATTTAAACGTTCATAATAATCAGATTATCGAATTGTCGTGCAATTGAAGCTGCTAGCTGGCGGTGGTCGAAAGCATCCATCGTGCTGCTAAAAGCATATCACGGGTGATAAATGGTTCCGATAACTTTCCAACGCCCAGATGTGTATGTGCTTCTCTACTTCATTTAAAAAAATAACAAACAAGAAATTTAATATCCATTCGTTGTTATCTAAGTGGGGATCGAGGATCAACCGCGCCCACCACTCACAGATGGAAATGCCGTAATCACACCATTACATTATATCCGCGGATGCACCCGAACGAGCGCACGCTAATCTACTCCCGTCCTTATTTGCAGACGTAAGAAGAAATGTATCAGATACATGGGGGAGGGAGGAGACGGCGACGGCGAAGCCGACGGTGAAGGCGAGGACGACCACTCGGAGGACAATCTGGGCAGCGTAGGTGAAGCAGGTACTCCCGAGGATGACGAGTCTCTAAGCAGCCCCGGAGGCCTGTCCGCGTTGTCTAGTCTGGCGAGCCCGTCGTTGGTCTTACCATCGCCCTCAAGCCTGGCCAGCCCGTGCCCGTGTCCGTTGACACCCCCAGTGCCACCCCCGCCTCTGTCGAATACGAGCCAGCAGTCGCACAATCAGCAGCCAACCACGACAACAGCGGCGGTGGCGGCGGCGGCGGTGACGACGGCGACGGCGACTGCGGCAGCGACGGCACAGCAGCAACAGCCACCCCCGCAACCCCATCGCAATCCCGTCGGCACGAATCCGCACGACATCAACAATCCGCTCAGCGTCAATCAGCTGACCGGACAGTGTATAAAGAGCGAGCCCGCGCCCTCGGGCCCCTCCAACCCGGCGATCAGTGTTACGTAGCCCTGGGCGGACCCACGTGACCGGACTGTTGCAACACGCGGAGTCATCTACGGGGTCCATCTATCTATACACACGACGAGGAGGCCGGGCGACAAAGGCTCGATCGAGACGAGAACGGACGGGGGCGACTGGTGGACCGCTTCCGGGGCGAGGATTCATCAGCGAGGATGACTTCGCTGTCGCCGAGCTCCCAATATTTTTACCTTAGTTTCGGTCCAGCGAGGTGGGACCAGATAGGGGTTCGAGGAATGTATCGTACTTCCGAGAAGACAGTACGAGGAGTACTCGAAGTGAGATCCGCTTGGATCGGATCAGAGTCGTGGACGAGTCGCGGCGACGACACGCGTCGTGTCGATAGATGTGATTAACACGGGGAAGGAAGCCACGGCCGACAGGATTCGAGTTCGGACGCGTGGAGATCGCTCGACAAACGTCGTCGTGAACGACGCGACCGTCTTCGCATGGAAATGGGTGGTATCGCCATCGGTCGTTCTCTCCTGGCGCCGTACCCAACCTCGCTCGTGTCCGTTCGCCGGAGTAGAGAGAGAGATCATTCAGTGTCCAAAGTCGGGAATAGCGGGTAGAGGTGGGACGTTAATATACGTGTAACGAACAGAAACAAATATGATGCAGAAATACTCAGGACCAAGTGTCTGGCTGTAGTCATCCGCTCGGCAGGGAGAGAAAAATTGCGAGATATGAGCGAGAGCGCGCGAGAAAGCGAGAGCGAGCGAGAGAGCGAGAGGGAAAGTGTGAATGACAGTGAGAGAGAACGGATATGTATGTGTGCGTGCGTGCGTGTTGCGTGCTTGCGTCCGTATGCGTACGTACGAAACGGAGAAGGCGCAGAGTACACACTCGATTATGGTGTGTGTGACTGAGAGGGCAGACTCGCCGAAGAAGATGCGCGTGACGCAGCTTGTAGTCCTTGTTACGTTGTGATGCCAATGACTGAGAAGTCATGTTCCTGTGCCAGGTACTATACTTTAGAAAGTAATTATATCGCGAACAAGTAGCTAAGAGGTAAAAAAAAGCGAAGGAAAGCCGCGAAGAAAGGAAGGAGAAACGAAACGGTAGCCGGGCGCGCGCGCGCGTTTTTATCGCCATTGATTTATTCGCCCTCACGGTATCAAAATACCTATCTTCTGTATGTAATTTGTTATTTTTTTAAAAGTCTATACACACAGTGCGATTAATTAGCGTGTAAGATAATCCCTTTAGTACTGAATCCTTTCACCTTCACCGAATCCCTGCTCACTCTCTACTCGAGTACTCTCCCTTCCTCCTCCTCTTTCCGTTCTTCTACAGAATCCTATCGTTTCTTGCTTTCTTGATAACGTCGCTGGACGTGACGCAATTGGCAGGGTTTTATCATAATGTAGAATTTCGATAGAGTGGACTAAACAATTCTATCCGCGTAACACAATGTATTGTTGACCCTTTACGGTCGTAGTTTGGACCGTGCACGGTAATGCATCTTGTGCCGAGATGCGTTACGACCGTAAAGGGTTAAAGCTGTACGTTTTAACACGTAAATCGTTGCTGTCGCGATCGACTTGGCACCACTTGAGGTCTTCGCCCTTCGGTTCGTTCAAGAATCGAGAGGTGATTAATCCAATCGTTAACCGACGAATTCGCTCTTTCGACTGAACGAAGACAATAAACGCGATAGATGAAGAAAAAAAAAATAAAAATGAAGAAAAGACTTAGAGTCGAGAGACGCGAACGCGCGAGAGAGCTTCCACACGAAGATCTGAGCACGCTTCGTTGAATCGTTCGCGACCAGCACGTATTCTTTTTTTATTTATTTCCTCTTTATAGACTACAATTTTTCTGCAATATGTTCATTCCCTTATCATCTGTATTTTCTACTTGGAAATCATATCAATCCGTTATATCCTTTTCCCGATCTATATTCCTTGTTACCCCTCTTTCTTAATCTCTTATGAGCGTGTAGCGATGTACGGTTACAGAGTTTGTCCGATTTATGGGTTTAATGCCGATTCGTAATCCATATGTGTGTCGAAGTACATCAAGTGTCAGAGAAATATGTTTCTCTCCGTGATTGTGCAGAGAGGTAATTTTTAACTGTTGCAACGAACGGCGATATCGGTCTTTAGGAAGTAAATTTGTAATTATCTCTTACCGAAGGCGAAGCGTTCTTCGGTGTTTTACTACTTTATTTTTCTACTATTTCTCATTATATTCATTCTAGTGTCATTTGGCATTTCGATACGATAGGATAGTGCAGATTCTCGTTATGCGCGCGGAAATCGTCGTTAGAAATATTGTTATTGCGGATATCGGCGGCATTGCGTTCTTTTTTTTTTTTTTGTACGTTCTATTATATTACCTTGTTTTATGGTGTAACGAGCAAACGATAAGTGAAAACGTACCTCTCTGACATTGCGATGAATGTATTGAAAATGATAAATATGTCGATGTGCGAATTTGTGTAGACGCTTTGTTTGCGAATGTACCAAGAAACTGTTACTTGCGCGGTAACAAGCTGCTCGCAATCATCATTTTGTGAATATGTACCAGACTTTTTATCCCTTTACTCACTTTATAAATAAGTTTCGAACTGATTTTTTTTTTTTCGAATGACTTTTATCGACCTCTTTGTCCATCTTCCATATGCTCGATATTTTCTATACACGCGAGACAAAAATTCGCCTCCGCTTTAAGAGTTCCTTCGATTTCTCGCAGCGGGTAATTCACAATGTCGCTTTGTAAGCAGCTTGAATCGCGCATCGAACATGCGCGATAAGTCGAACACACAATTGCGACGTGTATTAATAGCGATCAATTTTTTTTGTTACGTGACATCTCGGTGCAATCTAATCCTTTTTACCATTTTACAGGAGAAAAATGAGAGAAGGCGCGTTAGCGGGTCTTTTGTTACGATTGTTCTATGTGCGTTCGTTTATGGAGAAAAAGCAGCTCTTCTTTTGTATATAAAATAAATATGTTAAAGGAGCATTTGTTGCGGCGCATGGGAAAGTGCAATGAAGAGAGATCGAGCGAGAGAGAGAAAGAGAGAGAGAAAGCGAGAGAGAGAGAGAAAGTGAATGCCGAAGATCGCGCGCGTTTCTGCGCTACGAAACGGGAATATAAACGTCGCGAGTGTGTACGCGAATATCGGCGAAAATGGTTTTCCCTCCTCTATCCCCTTTACTTCTCTCCCTTTCGCAACGCGTTTTTTCTATGTTTTTCCTATTTCTTTTTTTCCCCACCCTCTCTCATCCGACTGAGTCTTATACGGTGTCTGTATAGCGAGCAACTTGACAGTCGCTGTGAAGAAAAAAACGCGTCGCTGAGTGTAGCAGCAAATTGAACGTGCCATAACAACACCATGCCAATATTATTGATAATACATATTGTTTTTATACTTTACGATCCGTTCAACAACGTCGTTCTGTCAGTCAGTCAGTCAGTCAGTCAGCCAGTGAAGCACGGGGCCTATCGACGCGAATTTGCCCTCAACTCTCTTATACATCTTCTTTTCTCTTCAACCACCGTTCTCCTTCACCCCTTCTTTCCCGCCCTTCTTCGTTTGTCGATCGAACTCGACGAGCAGACTGAACAAAGATACCAACAAAGAAGCATATGAAAGCGTCCCTCACCTATTTTGATGAATCTTGGTTATGTTATAGACAGCTATGCTGTTTCGCACACGTATTCGAAGCCCATCTGAATCTGCAGGGATACTTCCACATGTTTCCTTCTAAGGAGCTACTTCTTGGTAATCTTAATGTAAGCCTCATTTCTATCTCGCTCGTCGAACGTTCTGTATGTTACCGAAACGAATCGAGCCGTGGGCAAAGCAAGAGAACGCGATTCACTCGTCATTCAGAGCACTTGGGCAAACTTATCGCGTACGTATAAGAATACGTGAGAAAGGAAGAGAAATGCTGACTGCGGAATGCGTTCGATCGAGGAAGCGAAGTACCTCTACCGAGTAAGTACGGGGCAAGGACGACCAGCGACATCTCATAAGACGAGCACGAGGGAAAAAGGAGACGGCAGACCAGCGGCGTCACCATCACCACCAGGTCGTACTGACAGACGTAGCCACTAGACGAGAATACAAGACTCGCGAAGTCGCGCGATGTATTATTGTATGCGTGCGTGTATGCAACGATGACTGCACTGTACGAGGAGGGTGACGCGAGCGGAGGTGATAGTCCTATCAGCGGATAATCGGACATGTCAATTGACGCGCCCTTGAACGCCAAGTATGGCGAAGATTCTCCTCGAAGAGGAGGACGGTATATTCTTGAAGCTCGCTCGCGTCACGCTACCTCCCTCTTCACTTTGCTAGGAACGAGACTACGTCGCGAAGGATTCGGCGGCGGCGGCGGCGGCGGCGACGGAGTGCCTGCGGTGACACCGGAAGTTGCGTTCGATATCTCGCGGGGGAACGTTGTTGATGCAAGGAGATGCGTGCTTCCGGGAGAATGCGATCCTCGGCGGGCAAACTCGCTCGATATGGCCTACAGTCCGCACAAGAGGAGGGTATCGAGAGCAGTATGCGCGTCGTTAAATCCTACGGGTCGCGGGTGATACCCCCCTTTTCCTCCCTTCATTAAGGCAGACGAGGTGGAAAGGTCCTCGAGCGGACAAGTCGGATTCGGAGCTCGTGTCTCGCTTCAAGGAGTGGTTGTACCATATTGTAAAGTATCAATCGCGACAGTTCTCAGCTGCGTTGTACAGTGTTTTCTAAGTATCTAGTTGATAGAGTGTGTAATTGAGGAGGAACATTGTATTTACATTAATAAGTGATCTGTATCAAATTCATTCTCGTATAGCCGTACTCTTACTCATGTAGATGCTAAAAGTGATTTGTGTCATAAAGAAAAACCTATAAATAAAATTAGCACTTTGAGAACGTTGTCGGCCGCGTGTGTCTTTTCCCTCATCCCCGCCGTGGATAGAACTTTATGAGTACATGGATAGAACTAATGACATTTCTGAAATTTTGCTTCTAGATTAATTGTGCAAATTTTACTGCACTTGAAAACCAATGGAGCTAATGGAGGAAATCTTGAAATATAATGTTATATAAACTTATAGTCCTACCTTTATGCTACAAATTATTACTTATTATCTCTTGCATAGTTTAAAATACTTGTTCCTAAATTATTTCATATTCGACTATCACGACATTCTATCTTCATTTAAGGCTCCTGGTTCCTCGCCAGGGAACTCTTGATTACTGACGTCAGAAGCGAAAAAACGTATACCCAAAATTCTTGCAAAATATACTGAAATAAAAAGATATGTTCATAAAGTGACACTTGGAATTGATTGAACACATTTGTAATATATTTCAAAAACTTTCCTTTTACTCTAACAATCAATAAAAACCAATAAATTAACGTGAGGAAAAGAATCGTTAGGCTAAAAAGAAAGGCTATATGTCACGTTAATTTTTACGAGATTATCTATATCGATTGTTAAAACAAAAATTTTCGAAATATTTGACAAATATGCTCAATCAGTCCCAACTGTTATTTATGAACATTATTTTTCATTTCGATATATTCTGTAATAAGAATTTTAGGCATATGTTTTTCTGTTTCAGATGTCACTAGTGAAGATGAGCACAGAGGAGCCTCATTGTTCTCTTAATTTTAATAAAAAATATATTGACTGTGTAACTCGCTGCATTGTAAATAGAGTATACCCAGTAAGCAAAGAACTTTAACATTTAGAAACGTTGACGGCTTTATGTGCATTGTTTGGATATTTTTAATAATATTGCATTTATATTTTTCACATGTTATTTTGTGATATAATTTTTCTGAATGTTGTTTAAACGTTTTAAAAACATTACAAAAAATATATTTTTTAAATGTTACCTTAACATTTATTTGAGGTCAATGCAACATCTTAAAAATATTTCTACCGATTAAAACATTATAGCAACCCTATTTCAACATTATTGAAACTTCTAAATCGTGGTCAAAGTATGTTCATAATGATGTTTGATACAATATTAAACACTACATATTTGACAATATTACAGGTTCTTCAATATCATTGTAGCAACGTTGTATTAATGATTTCTTGCTTACTGGGTATTTAATTGGTATATATAAGCAGATATTAAATCTAATATGGATTAACAGCTAAATGTATATATGAAACACAATATGAACTTTCTTTCTTCATAACACTTTGATTATTTCTTGTTTTACTGTTGTTGGGAATTTTAATAGGATTTGAAGATATGAAAGAGTGAACAGAAAGAAAAGCAAACATAGTAAGGTTCAATAATACTATGCATCGATAAAAATTTAAATTTCTACACGGTACAATCATAAACACATAGAAGTGTAATATTGGCAGTTGCCAACAAAATAAAATTCATTACCCAAAGGACATTATTAGGTATATAAATCAGCGAGATTACGTTCGAGATTATACGATAAAGGACTCCGCAGAATCCTTATGGGAAATGGCTTTCGGCTAATTTTTTTTTAAATTTGATATGTGTAGTTCTCAACACGTAAAACAAAAGTGTCCAAGGTCCCAAGGTCCGATCACGAGTAGTTTTCGAGATACAGCACTCCAAAGTTGGACTTTTCGTACTTTATTGCAGCGTAGTGCGGATGCAGTCGATGTCGATGCTTACGATTAAAGTGGGTGTATAGGTGCTTGTTTTTTTGCTTGTGTGTGTGTGTGTGGTGTGCGCGCGCACATTATTCATCAATAATCTCAATATTCCGAGGTTTATCTGGAATATTGAGCATCCAATGTGGCATTGAGCAATGACATGTCAGGGTATTTGATATTTCCCTGATGTGCAAAACCTAGGTACCACAAAACGTAACGTGTGCATATGTACCTAAAGTACGAACTCCAGACTGACACGTACAATAATATCCATTAATTGGCTCATTAGGATTGTCAGCAGCATTCTCATCATCCCTATTATCGATCTCGTGGGCATTTATCAAATAAATCTAGCACCTTCGTATATTCAAGATAAGCTAAGGGATAATGATGAAGAATTTCAACTTGATCAACATTTCAACGAGCCAGGTTTTCTGAGAATTAGGTTGTATTCCAGATTTCGTAATGCAACAAGACATCAGATCTTCATTTCATACGAGATCGATAATAAGGATGATTAGAATGCTGCTGACAATCCTAATGAGTTAATTAATGGACATGTCAGTCTGGAGCTCGTACTCTAGGTAAATGTGCACACGTTGCCAGCGGTTTGTAGTAGGTTTTGCATCAGGGAAATATCAAATATCCTGACACGTCATTGCTCAATACCACATTGCATGCCGCAGACCGAGAACTTCCAGATAATCCTCGGAATATTGAGATTATTCATGAATAATGTGCGCGCGCACACCACCCACCCACACACACACACACACATACACAC